TTTAACGCAAAACCCAATTTTCTATCGCCATAATTCACTACCTTGTGATACAATGTGATAAATTAGAAAAATTATGTCTTTATTATGCTATTGACAAAGCAAGAATCTGTAGGGTCATCCAGTTACTATAATTGAAAATGCTGTAGAATTTCAAGTTTTCATGCAAAAAGTGATTACCTACATTTTTTCCAACCAGTAGGAATAAGTCATTTTTAGATTCTAGATTAAAGAATGTCTACTTTTGATCACCGAGGCTATTACATGACCAAACTTCTGTAATGTTGTGTATATGAACGTTCATTCGTTAAATGTGTTTGATAACTCAACCAAACACTTCAGATTGCTTGCAATTTTACGTTCTGCAGAGAATATATTTGAAGTGAAAATTATCGGTGCACATTCGACTCTAGCTGAATTTTGCTGTTCACAGCATCTCTTTAATTTGAAACACAATAATTTGAAGTTACCTGCAAGTTCCGCAGAAACTACGAGAAAAACTAAAAATAAAATAGGAAAAATGAAACTACTAATCAAGAACAGTGTTTTAAGAGAGTTGAGTTTTACTTGTAAGTTAAACCAACGGTCCATAGAACTACTTTTTAAGAAAAATGTACGCTGGAGCGACCACAAGTTTAGACTACGTTCAAATTAATTCATTCATAAATGCAGGCTTCACAATACAATAATATTGCACCAAAAAACCGAATCGTGCGCTCAAGCAACGTAGATTGCAATTTCATTATCCCTATTTGAGCTTTTGAATAATTTCAGTAATTAATTTCAGAAGTCGTAAATGCATAAATGAAACAGTTTAATGCTTACAACGTTTCGATTTCGCAGTTTACAAAATTACTAGCAAACATATTGGAGTTGGTAAACAATTTTTCAGGACTAATCATACCAGCATTGCCTAGCACCTTCTAGTAATACGTGCCGATTAAAACAAATGGGAAGAAAACAACATTTCGGTTTTAATCGATGTTCATATGGTACAGCCAGTCTAAATATCAGCAAATTCCTGCGGTAATAAATAAAGCAATAGCAAACTAGGCCAAACGGTCCGTTTACATTTTCTAAGCTCAACTTTATGGCACACGATGTACATTCCACAGAGTTTGATTAACTTACCGCCAATGCCTTTAAATCACGTATTTCGAAAGTCGTTGCCTGTCGAATTCCATTTGGAAATAAATTAAAAAACAACACTAAAGGTCAGCTTCAGACCGACTAATTGTAGTGCGCTTTTCAATTAGCTTAAAATAGATTTATATTTTAAATCAAATTTGAAAGCAGTTAAAATTGGCGCTCAACACTTGCATATTCTTCTACAGTGTAGCAGGCGAAAGAAATCGACTAAAATATTTTCAGTTCCGTTTACAACTGAACAGAACTCATCAAACAAGTTCACTTGTCTTAGAAGTTACACCTTTACAGTTACATGTATTAAGCAAAGAGGTCTCAAACCGTTTTCTACGTTATTTACCTAAAGAATTTTAAAATTTAAAGCTCCTCTAATGATATTACTGTTCAGGTCGTTGTCCTCTCATTAACAACGCAACAGACACAACGTATGGATGGCACTTACAGTACGGACGTACTACATTATTACTTCATTCATATCGGGCATGAGTTCTTCCGCACATTTTTAGTTTGTACATGTACCGCGTGCGATCCCCAAGGACATCCACTTCCGGATGGTGATAGCATTAGATACCTTTAACTAKYTMSAATCTAGATATCTRGAAATTACCTGCCTACACTCACATAGACGTGTTAGTGTGTTATTTTATATCAGCTACTTTGATTCATTTTGGTARCATTTTCGAAGRTTTTCATCGAGAGGGATGTTTTTGGAGCAGTTTTGCGGAAAGAACAAACTCAGGTAGTTGAAAATTSAAGTYAATTKGCCTCYGCAAAGATTAAAGAGGCTTTGTCGATGAGGCCACATTGCGGAACTTTAACCAACTGCTCTGAGGCAAATTAAATTTGTTTTATTACTGGAAATTGGACTTGAATCGGGAAACGACGGAGTGAGATATTTCAACTGCAGTTTCATTTTGCAAATCGATTTTTGCTAGATCTTGATGAATCTAGCAGCCAAAAAAAGGAAAGGCAACAAAAAAATTCCGCTAAGATTCAAAGTCATCAATGATCAACCGTGTATGTCTTAGTTAGAACAAATGTTCTATAAAGAAATGTTAAGAGTGCTTAATGCGAGTTCCGAATTTTGGACGTTCGGGAAACAGAGAAAATAAATAACAAATGTAAGAAACTAAAAGAAAAGTAAAATAGCAAACAAAATTTAACAAGAGGTAAACTTTAAAGGATTTCAGCAGTTTGCTTCTGTTCAGTTGAAACAAAGATGTTTTGTTTGCCGCATTACATGCACTATTTAYTAGTTATTGCAGTGTATATGATGTGAGTGAGTGTCAAATGATAAAATTGAAGATAGAAACACAGTTTCTAATCTAATTATAAGCCACATTATATTCAGTAACAACAATTGGTAAACATGATGCAAGAACAAGCTGCAAAAGAAGAAAAATATATAGCATATAATGAAAAACACTATCTTTTTCAAAGAATTAAAAAACTCAATACAAAGCCAAAATCACATTTCTTCGACCRATTTCTCCAACTTTTAATTYATTTGAGCACATCATTACTTTGTAATTAAACCAGACAATAAATAACGCAATCGATGCAATAACATTAAATTAAAAAAATCCACTAAATCTTACAACTCAATACTAAGTTCTCAGGCAAATAGGCACCTTTAAAAAACTGCACTACATCTTAAAATCAAGTTCACCCAATTATCAAAAACCAAAAAAATATTTGTCACCGCTATAGAACCGCAAACAGCTATTACAATAGAAAATAAAAATTCTATTGAACATAGACAAACCATAAAAAAGATTAAAAAATGAGCCAAAGAACTAAACGTTCCAAAGATTTGGTAGAAAATTGAATCAAAACGACACATGCATTTTTGAAGATTCTCTATTGAATTAGCAAAGTAATTGAAAAAAAGGTTTCTAAAACAATCGAAAATTAAAGAAGTTGAAAAGACATTTTGTCCACAATTTCTAAGAAAAGCCTCATTATCGTTTTCGTTTTATTATTTATGGTTATATCTGTGTAAACACTTTTTTCCTCTAACTGTACAATTTGGATTGCGGACATCGATTAATGTGTATGAGCCAGTATATTCAAATATGTACTTAAATCTTGCACATGGGCAGTCAATATCATGTGACTTGATGATGCAATAAGTAATCAACGAAACGCGCACCAACCTTCCAAAATAGTGTTTTTTTTAGCTTATCTCGATTAATACTATTTATTTTTTATATTTGCAGATTGTATTTTCAGCATTTAAAGTACCAATCCCGCAACCGTTTAACCGAAAAGATAGCAGGCATTTAAACTACGTTTCAGTGTTATCTAAGACCTTTAAATTTTACTGGTTATTTCAAAACTGCGCCACTTCACTTGTCTCGTAATCGACAACGGATGTTAAGCAAATCAGCAAATAGGTACGTTTATGAGGTATCTAATACAAATAACAAAATTATAACGGACAATATTGATAAAGCTGAATGATAAAATTATGTAAGTCTAAAGTCAATATGTCGGAGAACTCTAGAGGAAATGAAGTAGCTTAGATCTTTGCCGATTCGCATCCGTATCAATCAATCAATCAATCGAATACCCAAAAATTCACAGTCTTGAAATAACAAATTAAAAAATATTGCTTCACACCATTATCAAAAATCAACAGAAATTTGCTTCTAAACTATTTAATGTAGTTTCTTCCAAAATTTTTATTGCATAATCTTAATTAGGCAAGATATATATTCAAATTAGAATGCTACAATTTGACAAAATCAACAATTGAAAACGGCCAAAAAAAGTTGCTGAAGTCGGCCAGCGCTATTTAAACTTGATCTATTATTTGAACATTAAGAAACGATTGTTTAAATACATTCCCAGTTCAATAACTTTAAAACGGTCGAACAACAGAAACTTTTACATTAAAAACAAAGTGAAAAAATGTACCGCATCTCTATTAACAAGTGATTGCGAAGGTAAAAGGTACTAAAACACTGTTTGGTTTATTTACATTTATTTTCAAATTCCGACCTTATTTACTTAAAGATAAATAAGCAGTTTAGGTGTTCTGGAGATGAGTACAAATAAAGCCTAATCGGCCGGATGGAGCACAGACAGCTGTTATGGTTATGATGCATAACTACGTAGTTTGTTTGGAAAATTGTTTGGTCTAGTTCTACCGGATCGATTAAGACGGTAGTGAAGACTCAATAATTTTGAATCATGGTCGATAAATCTTTATCAATATTGAGGTCCTGCGGAAGTAAATTAATTACATATAACGAACATTATCTCATGTATATGTATATATAAATCAGAGCCCCGAAAATCACTAAAAAATGCTCAAAAAATTCAAAAATGTAAATTACATTCCTACAACAAATGAGAAACCACTTTTTACGTTTGCGAACCGCACCTCCTAAATTTGACATCAGTTTACTAAAAGCATACAACAAAAGAAAAAGCGTATACAAATCTTTACAAATTTATCGCTATTGAGCTAAATACAAACTAGAATTAAATCAAAATTTGACGCATCCAAAAAGAAAAGAATATTCTGGAGGAATTAGATCTGGATCCGGCAGGCGAAGGCACAGGTTCTTCCCGTTTGATTCAGTTTATCTCGTAATTTAAAGCAAATTTTCAAATATTGAGTCATATTTTATCCATAATAGTATTTCTAACATCTAACACAAAAAAAAAGGTTGTTCAGAAAGTTTTGCTAGCTTTCTTCTAAATTTCAGAGAAGTTACACCTTCTTAGTCAATCCATTTGCAAAAAACCTTTGCAATCGCTCTCCTGATTTGGTCTCTTCACTATTTTGTCAGTGTATGGATTTAACGCCCTGCATAGTAGTGAAATATACAAAAAATACACTTCCTTACCTGTATATTATAAAACTGGAATTGAATCATAAACGGTTTTAGCTGAATTGTGTTGTATGACTTCATCTGAAACAAAAAAAAAGCGAAAATTAGGTGATGATTCAAATGTACGCAGTTGTAAACTTAATAAATTAAAAGAAAAAWTCTAATAAATAATSAATCACAGAAACGCCCTGCATGCTCCGACACATGYTGCTTAAGTCCATTAACTACTTAACGAAAAAAGKTAGCTCGCTGTATAGAGAGAATCGCTCATATGAGAATTTAAWGCAGACATAGAAGCGTTGTTACAGTCAATAAGTYAATATTGAAAAAAGTAACTGATTAATTTTTTWATATAAATTAAACTACCRCACAAATATGAAAATATATTATAAAATAAAATTGCGAAAGCACAAAACCTAAACAACCAAACACAAAAACTAATTGGCTATAAACTATGCTTGTTTCTTCAGCATMAACAATTTCAAWAAYCATACTGTTGTCATACGTTGTTTATAAATTTTGTATCAATTGTCCAAAGATAATGATAGATGAATGAAGGAATGTATTGCAACCAATGCTTGCAGCAAATTTAAGTCACTTCCTAAACAACATAAAATTTAATWACAATTTAAACAGTACATTTCCAGAATTACTGAATAGAGTATCAAATGTAATATCTTTTAAAATCATAAAATCYCTGATAAATCAAATCACCTAAACGGACTTCTACAATGAAAAGATTTACGATAATAGTGAAAAACCTCATTCTTCCATTAGATATCGATCCAAACGACCACACCCAGGTGTATAATTTGCAAATTTTCAAATAATAATTACCGTCGCCCATAATTAATAATTCTAAACGATGCATTTAATAATGTCGGCAAAACTTGTCTCAGCGGTATCGTTAGCTAAAGAAAAAAATCATAAATTCCACGGTGCGAACACCTGCTAACATCGAAGCCCAGAACGTTTCCTTGTATACGCTGCTTTAACACGTTAAAAATCAACATACCGACTTTGGTTGACATTAATACTTGCCCGCAAACCTATTCACTTGCTGAAACATTACTTAGTAATAACTAAACGAATCGCTTAAGATTCTGCCTAGTTTAATTTATAGCTATAATTATTTCATTTGGTGGAATGCAAGCAAATCAAGGTCAAGACCTGTAGATCGAGATTTATATTTAAAACAATCATCAGGGGTAAATTTTAGAAAAAAAAACTTGGCGGTGCAAATCTGTTTTATTTGGCTATCATTGCATCCATTGATGTATTTACAGGACAACTGAATTGTTTGCAAAATGCTCGTCTCTACTTTCATAACTTATTAAGAAAATTGTATTCATCTTGACTAATGTATAGAAAAGCACTTGCGAGTTTAGAGAGAAGCAACATACGCAAGGCTTCTCGGGTATAGAAAATTGAATTTAAACAGAAATTGGCTATGGAACTCAAAGCTTTTCAAATAGAGTTAACTTTTCTACGGTATTCTATTGCAAAATCAATGAAAAATATTACGTAGTGATCTCAGTTAACAAGCCAAGAACGGTTCATATAAAAATTCCGCCCACAAAAGTTAAAATACTGGTTTGAGATATTGAGGGTAAAAAAACAACGATTTGAAACATCATTTACTCGTTCACAAAATCGGTTTTACTTCCCTTATTTGCATCTGTTTAATTCTACTGGTCTGATAACTGAACCATTTTATTAAATGTTTACACGTTCAGTTTCTTGAAATAAAACTAAACATTAAAACGCGCATGTTTGTAAACAAGCAAAATTTATCATAATTTTTGTATTCCTACAACCATGCAAAAAAAATTTGAATTAATGATTTTCTAATCTGTCCAAATAAATCCAACTTTGAAAACGAAAACGGTTTAATCACTCAAATACTTAAATGTTGGTAACAAAGGATACAATATTGTTTTCTATTTGAAATTTATTCAATTTTTCTTGTACTATTTTAGATCTTTCACGTGTACTTCAGTTTCACCTGATGCTTATTTAATTGTTGATTCATAAATAGATTGCTGCTGAAAAAGCCAACTTATTACAGTTTTACTTCGGGCTGAATGAAATATTATAATCGTGCAAAATGCATCGTATAGAAAATTCCATGTGTTTTTATAAACAAGTGATTTGAGGACATGGATGGTGACTGGAATAAAACCAATTTTCTTCACTTATAGACAATATTAACGCCTGTTCAGGCTAATTATGCATAATACAAAAATTTCAACTGTCGCTTTTGCTTAATAGTCGAAAACTCTAAATCATAGCAAAACCTTAATTTTGAAAATTTTCATTTGCACTTAACGGCTAATAGTCTAGGTTGTAAACATCTTTGAATTGTATATTTATTATAAATGTTGGTTTAGTGGCCGAAAGCGATTGCCCTTAATTTTCTATATATTACACTTTCAAAATACTTAAGCACCATTTTTCTGGGGTCGTAATCCGTCTTTATCTGATTCGAAAAGCGAAAGCAAAACTTGTTCATGTCTGGATTCACATAGGGTAGTTTAACTAAAATCACTAAATAAAATTCCAATTTTTCAATCACTATGATATAAAATGCTCGTTTTTGTACAACAAAAGCTGAAGTAAACCCTAATTTAAATGCTCAAATACGATAAAACTCTTTTTCAATATTAAACAGTAAAAAGAACAAAACTCTTGTAAAAGTAAAGGCTACAAACGCTTTGATTTCCTTTAGTGAGTGAAAATAGGCAAGCCTACCACTATATCGTCGCGATAGGACTGAACCGTCTGATCGCAGCATGAATGAATGGACCAAAGTACACAATGAACCCACGCATAAAAGAATGGAACCAAAGTAGGTTGTCCCAGGGTGGGAAAAAACTCCGACATGTTAAAAGAACCCACAATTTACAACTACACATGTTATTTATGATTCAAAACATAATTAAGACCGTGCTGTTTCCGCTTTGATGAAAGATTAGCATTACATCACATGACATATTTGGTCGCAATATTTGCTAATTGCTCAGTATGATATGACTGGAAATCCCACATACCACATTAAAAGAGATAATGCAATTTTCCGCTCTCCTCTTTCTGCGGACATTTTTGCGAAACACTTCAAAAATGTTAAATTTTTGTCCACATGTACCTATGTTTTTTGAATAAAATTTTTTCCGAACAGCTCATTAGTGAAAAAGTGCAAATAATAATTCTCAGTAAATGCGCCTAAAATGATCAAAATGTAATTTAATTTTTCAAATTCCAGAAAGGCGAAATCCGACATTTTCCAATTAAGTAGGTGCGTTATCTGCATCGGCTCCATCATCAAGTCCATCAATAAGCGCCAAATTTCAAAAACACATTAGCCTTTAGTAAACACGAGACTTCGTTTCCCATGGTGCTTGGGTGGGCGCAGTCGCTTTTTTTCACCCAAAAATACGGTCCTTCCAAGAAAAGATTAAAAAGGGCCTTTTCGTCGAAAAATTCTTCGGCGGCCCTTCTATGTTCCTCGCGACTGCTTTCAGTTTCCTGTGAGAATATTTATTTACCGCCTGGTCTGACAACAGATACATATGATTTGTTTGTTACCTGACGCCTATACCAAACTTTACATTTTGAACCCACGTTTTATGCTATTTTTCTTGTTGCTTGGAAATATTATTATTGAACTTTCATTTTTGCATGATTTGCATAAGACTAACACTTTCAAACATACCAGAAAATATTTTAATTTGGTAATTTTAACAGTCATTAATTCACAATAAAATTTAATATAACACGGGATTGAATGCTAAATAAATAGGGA